CTGACGTCGACAAAGAAAAGAAACCGATGTCTATAAACAACAGCAACAAAGTGGGGTGGGGGGGGAGAGAATTTAGGGTGGGGGCTAAAAGGAAAAGGCGGAGTCAAGGAAGAAGGTTTAAAATTAATAAAGGAGCGGTAGAGGCAACCTGTATTAAATGCCTAACCGCCACCGCCTGTCTTCGCTGGAGTCGCCTATGATGCTGGGCGGGTTTCTGCAGAGCCTCCAGCCAAAATAGACTAGGAAGACCTAGAGATCTGTCTCTAAAATTTGCCAGAGAAATCCCTGTATCAAAACCCTTGCCTTCTGTTGTGCTTAAAGACTCCCTGAGCCTTCTCGTGCGTGCAACCTCCCTAACTTCGGCTATTTATGTGGCAGACTCTGTCCTCCAACACTAAAACAAAGGCCTAGAACAGTGCTTGGTATATAGTATTAGGCTACCAAAAATTAAACTTTTATTGTGCATGTAATTGAACATATTTTAAACAATTTATTTTTGATCTCTTAGTTACATTTATTTGGAAGAATAATACATACCATCTTTCCCAAACTGGAACATGGTACACCAAGTGAATGGAAGGAAGAAAATAACAATGTTATTAAGTATGGTATTTTTGGGGGGTGGGGCGGGAAGTGGGATGGAATGCCAACTATAATAAAGTGATTATACATATCAGAACGTGGCCAGGGGCTGACTGTGGAAGGAATCATCAATTACTCATATGTAAGTTCAGGTTGAAGTTGAGAACTCAAGAATAGGTTTGACATATTGAACCCTAGTGATAGAAAATCTGACAAGCTGTGGGATAACATCAAGATCATACATTATTAAGGGCTCAAAGAGAAAGTAAATGTTTAGAAAATAATGATGGCAACATATGTACAAATATGCTTGATACAATTGATGTCTGGGTTGTGGTAAGAGCCCCCAATCAAATGAAAAAAAAAACATTAAGAAAGCAAAGGTCATTAAAAATATAAGAAAAAAATACAAAGGACCAAAGTGAATGTCAGAAGAGACTCAAATTTGCTCTTGAAAAAAAAGTAAAGCAAATGGGAAAAAATGATGAAGTAAAAGAACTGAACACAAAATTTCAAAAGTCAGCTCTAGAAGACAAAGGATTATAATGAAATGTGCAAAGGCTGGAGTTAGAAAGCCAAAAAGGAAAAGAAAAAGGAAGGATAAGCTCCGTATATATCAAGCTGAAAGACTTGAAGAAAAAATTCAAGCCTTATCTTGCAATATTGAAAGATTCTTTGGGAAAAAATATTGAATGAAGCAAGAAGCATCACAAGAAGATGAAAGTAATACAAATAGTCACTGTACCAAAAAGAACTAGTTGACACTCAAGCATTTTGTATATGATCAAGAATCAATTATATTGAAGGAAGAAGTCTGAGCTGCACTGAAAGAACTAGAGAAAAACCAGACTCCAGGAATTGATAGAATACCAATGAAAATGTTTCAACAAGCTGATTAAGCACTGGAAACAAGTACTACTCTATTCCAATAAATCTGGAAGATAGGCTACCTGGCCAACAGATTGGGAGATCCATATGTGTACCCATTGTAAAGAAAGGTAACTCAAAAGAATGTGGGGACCATTGAGCAATATTAATACAACACACAGGTTAAATTTTCCTGAAGAAAACTTACTAATGGTTGCAGTAGTACATCAAAAGGGAGCTGACTAAAATTCAAGCTGGATTCTGAAGAGGACACAGAGCAAAGGACATCCTCGTTCGGATTGCTGCTGTCAGGTAGATCTTGGCTAAAGCAAAGTATATAAAAAAGATGTTTACTTGTCTTTTGACTGTGCAAAGGCATTCAACTGTGTGGATCCTAACGAACTATGGAAAACATTGAGAATGGGAATTCCTGAAAAAGCATTGTTCCCATGCTGAACCTGAGAATATTGTGTTTTAAAGAAGGACAGGTCTGTACAGAGTGTGTGCCCTTTCACCATACTTATTCAATAAATGTTGGGCAAATAATCAGAGAATCTGGACTATATGAAGAACATGGCAACAGGATTGGAGGAAGGCTGAATAGCAACCGCAAGGTCGGTAGTTGGAAAACACCAGCCACTCCTTGGGAGATAAATGAGGCTTTCTACTCATCCTATAGGGTTTGTCCTATGGGCCTCTACCTAAAGGGTCACTATGAATCAGAATTGACTCAATAAAAGAGTTCAATTTTGGTCTGAGGGGAGATACAAGGAGCCATCTTTAACATTGGCAAACTACCTCTCTCTGCCTTCCCAAATTTATCAGAGAGACTGATCAAGACTGCTGCCTCTCCCAGTCTCTTTGGGATTTGTCCTGGTTATCTTGGCAGTTCAATTTCGGGTAAAGTACTCAAGAAGGCATTTGGACTGTCTCAAGGTTTAGGATAAAGTAAGGCTCTGATTGTAGTACACAAACTTCCACAAAGCAATGCCTTTTAGTTTCAGGCACTAATGCAGTATTGATAAAGGGGGTGAAGTGTTAGCCTGCTTTAATCAAAATATTAGAAACACAACATAATTTAAGATTTAGTTGTATATCCCAAATCTAAGGGCCTCCTCTCTTGCAGCAAAAATTACTTTTAAGTTTAATTAATAGGGATGGTCTTCTAACTCAGAAAGGTGGTAAAGCCATTACAATAGGTAGCCAGGCATGAAGCATCCCTATTTAGATAAGCAATGGAAATTTGTGCTCAGGGGATGGTGGTCTGGTAATGCCTGGAGAAGTATAGGTATCAATGATTGTTTCCTGTAATCATTGCAAACCTACTTTTTTGTTACATAGTTTGGGGTATGGTTTCCTATGATCATTGCAAAATATTTTTGTCACATAATGAGGGGTATTTAGCTTGATTTTCACATGATTTTTAAGCAGCTTGGAGGTAGCAAATCCCACTGTTTCCTTCTGTCTGTCTGGCTGTTCCGCTGACAGGCGATTTCGGGCCCTTACTTCCGGCAACAGTACCGCGAATAGTACTGAGTAACAGGTCCTTTCGAATAGTACTGAGTAACAGGTCCTTTCTGGATTAGATTCAGTGGGATATTCTTGGCTATAATATTTGTGCAATTTCTCTTCCACCTCATCCCACAGCTTTCGACCAAAATTATTGTTCTTAATTAAAACGTCATGAAGAAAACTAGTTTAAACGGAAAGTAGAAATTATGTCGACTGAAACAAGCCCTGGAGCCTGAAGAATCTGGGTTCCTTTCCCAGGTCTACCACTTGCCACGTGCCTGCAGCCTTTAGGAGGACTTCCCAGAGAAAGGCTTTCAAAAGCTGCGACACTGCCATTGTTTACGTAACTATGGCCCAAACAGTAGTTGTCTACGAAAAAAAATCCCAGCTGACAGAGACAACCGTGTACGTTTTCTTGCTTTAATTCTCCGAAGAGTCGGATCTATCTATTTTCCATCTGCGAACAGATCCAGGTTTCTGCCATCTAGTGACCTCTGCTTCAGGCTACTGAATAGAAAGCCGTGCATGACCCGGAAGTCGTCCTTTCCCTTTCCTTCTAAGTAATTGTCTCCGGCTTCATCGGCTCGCGCGGCATCAAATGCTGCTTGGTAGCTGGTGCAGCCGGCTACTACGCCGGCGGGGAATTTGCTCCGGAACGCCTTGGCCTTGAGCGTGGATGGCGGGAGGGAACGAAAGGGGCGGAGACCAGGTTACGCGTGCGCAGTGGCGTTCGACACGGACGCCAAGACGCACGCACGTACGCACGCACGCCCGTCCTCCCTCCCGCCCTTACTCGCGCCGCCGCGGCTGCTCCCGCGGAACCCAGTACCACCGTCCACCCTGCTGCTGAGATGCTGCGGGTCTGTCAGTTATCGGGCGCGACCGTTGCCGCCCAGGTGAGCGCGGGAGTGGATGCGCGGAAAGAGCGCGTGAGGAAGTGTATTTGGGACATTCAGTGGAAAACCAGGGAGACCTTGGCCCTGCGGAGGCCTTCAGAAAAGGCTTGTGTCAGGTTGCGGACCGTACGAGACTTTGGGGCGAGCGGTGAGGTAGTTAACTGGGAAGTTATTTCGACTAGGATGATCGAGGGCTATTTTGGGGTGTGGTGGGTGTGGAGAGAAGGTGGCAGGGAGGCCGGTGCAGGGCGAGGGGCGCGACTTCGGGGACGTGTCATCCTACCAGCACCCCGCGGTCCCAGTCAGGGACCAATCCTAGCTCCTGGCGCCTGGGTCGCCGGTTGGGCTCGTGAAGGCAGTGGGGTTCGCGCAGCCTGTGTGTGAAGGTCGAGGTGGGGAGAACTACATTTCCCAGCAGAACGCGCGCAGTCTTGCCTTGTTGCATCTTTAATTAGGAGGTTCTCGGACTGTTGGACTGCTGGGAGATACGAGTACGCGATTTGCGGGGTAGCGGTGGGTCAAGGTTGTAATTATCCGTAGGAACTGCCTTTCTTTTCGCAGGAGAGAACACCTCAGGTCTACTTTTACTCTGTAAACAAAACAGAAAGACTAGTTTATGGAGCACAAACTCCTGGAACTGGAGAGGACAGGAGCCATGACCTTGTACTCGTTTCTGAGATAAGCCCTGAGTGGGGGTGTTTCCAAGAGGCACAACGGTGGCAGACATGTTCAAGGAATCCAGACACCTAATCACGTTTAGTTTTGCCTACAAATCAAAGTAGTAGTCAAAAATTCAGAGAAAAGGAAAGTAAATCTGTTTCCATTGGTCACACTGTGTCAAAGAATTGATGTTTTGGCAAAGGGCAGCCTTTTTGAGGTAGGCTTTCCTTCAGAACTAGACACAAAGGGTTTAGAGGGCGGAGGCTGCCAATGTATCCTAGCCTTCTA